GTTTAAATACCTGAGCTTGTACCAGCATACATAGTACTGTCTCCTACATACCAAACAGCAGTGAAATCATTGTACTCATCTCTCTAAGAAGAAAATTACTTTTAATTAGTTAATTCTTTTGAAGGATTTGGTTATTGTCCAATTAAACTAAACTATGTTCTTTGGGATCCTTTTTCTCAGCAGGTTCCCTGGAGTTCTATTAGAGCTCTTAAAGAGTTATAAAACCGAAGTTAAAGAAAGTAATTACATTGGCCAAATAAAAACATGCAACTATTTGAGAGATAAAAAAAAAAGGAAAAAACTAAGCTACAGGTACAGCAGCTAAATAGTTCATAGCCTTGGAAAAACTCATGTTACCGAGAAGACAAACAAAAGCAAAAATTAATGAACTAAACTTACAACTTTCTTGGACTGTATAAGTTCATCTGGAACCTCTGGCTCATGAACCTAAACATCAATGAAGAAATATTTGTTGCACTCAAAATATTTTGGTTTCTTAAAAAGCTTTGTTTTTTCTTATCCCTGACTCTTATGAGTGCTGCATGCGCAGTTGGGCAAGAGGGCACACAGTGTTTGGACTGATCACATTACCAAACAGGTTGTAATTACTGTTTGGTAGGGAGAGGTGAAGTTACTATTAACTGAAAGCAGATTGTCTGAGGGAAATGTTGCACTTAATTCTGATTACAAACCCTCTCCAAGTTTTAATTTAATTTAATTTATTAGATTCGCCGACAGGCATGGACACTGCAACAGCTTGCGCCATTTACTGCAGTCTCAGTACACCCACTCATCTCACCCCAGGGGAGGACATCCACCACACAGTAATCTCGTGCGTGGGAAATTAACATCTCCTACCCCTAACCCTGCACGAGATGGGGCCTACAGTTTATTCATCCATATCCGAGAAGACTAGAATATCTATCCATTTCTTGATATTATAGAAAGGTAGCAAATTCTCCTCAGTTATTTTAAGACCCTGAGTGTTGGTCCGGCCGGGGCTTGAACCCTCAACCTCCCACACAACAGTCCTGCACTCTACCAATTGAGCTAACCAGGAGGCAGTCCATGATTATTGATTTTAAGTTGTATTTAAAAATGTTTAGCAAAAGTTTATGTACATTGAGTGTCATCTGATCACCAGTCTCATCCAGTAACCAAAACAATACAGAGCCATCTTGACCCACGGAGGAAAATTCATTTGCAGTGTATGGATCCCACATGATGTCATGGACTGGATGCCTGGCAAAGGATGAGGTAAGCACTACCAAATCTCTTGTGCTCCAAACCACAACAGAACACTCCCTGTAATCACCCACTGACACAAGGAATCTGTCATCACGGGAATATGCGAGACAGACTATCTCATGCTCATGGTAGGTTAGAACCTGAAGGAAAAGGACTGTTAATGAGAAGACAAGAGCAACATGATGGCCAAGAGACTGGAGAGAAGTCCATAGTTCAGATCATACTCTGATACATGAATAACCTGCTCAATTTCTTACTAAAAAGCCTTACAAACTAACAAACATTTGGGAAGATTACCAAATGCATTGATTATTTATGCAGTGCAATCATGTGTATTTATTATTAATATTATTTGCCATTATCTAAAAAGACTACAGTATACAGCTAATGGTAAGGGAAAAGCAGATTACCTAGCAGGTAATGGCAAGCAAACCTGATAAAAAAGATTAAGGCTTGTACAGTGTAAGCTTAAGTTAACTCAAACGTAGCACAATATATATTAAATAAATCTAAACAACATACAGTGGAACCTCGATTTAATGAACCTCAATATATCAAAGTCCTCTAAAAACTTACTTTTTGGCAAACACCCTCTGGCAGGTTCCACAAGAGGATCTGACTGGCCACTGTTCCAGATGGCCCAGAGGCTGAAGCTAGCATAAGGCCATCATGCTGTAAGGCCAATGTAGAGATCTCTTCTGCGTGCCCCATAAGGTGTTTTTGAGTACCAGAATGAAGGTCCTCTATGACCACAAGACATCCACTGGTATATGCAAAGAGACCTTGACAGAGAGCAAGAGAATTGCATGAGAATATCTCCACAGCAATTTATGTTAAGTGGCACCCTAATTCAGCAGTATGGTAAAAGTGACATCGTCACCATTTAAACTTGGTTTGAAATTTAAACTGTCAGAGGCAAGGTTATCCTTTTATATTCTCCTAAACATTTAAATACATTACTAAGCAAACAGGTGATGAGTAACCGACAAACTTAACTGAAGGATATTGTATGTGGCTAAATATAATTTAGGCAAGGTAAACCTTGAGCTAATGCGGCCAGCGGTTCCGCGTAGTTTCACACATGCTCTGCGGGGTTCCCCCTGGATTTTGCAGGGGCAAACCATGCTAGCCTTGCTTGCTATCGATCGTTGCAATCATTGCCTGTTTCAGGGAATTTTAGCAGATTCATTAGCCCCACCCTGCCCTCCCAGAGGGCATTCTCAACCCCAGAGGTAAGTGATGGGTATGTTAAGTATCTCCACTGGACAAGTTTCAGTGTGACGGTGTCTGTTAGCAGCCGCTGCCGGGGTGGTTCCCACTTGCCAGGTTGCCATGGAGACCTGCTTGTGGTGCTTGGAATTCCCCGGGCTCCTTCCCTGCTAACTTTTATAGCACCAGCTTTCCCAAGCTCATCAATTAGCGACGAGTTTAACCGGTATTAAAAACCTTTAACTGTTCATTCGCTAATTACTACTATTTGTGCCAATAACTTGTCTGACTGGTAATATGAAAACATGATATTTTCATTTACACTAAAGATCATTTATTGACAGAAAAGTAGCGCCACTACATTATTCATATTTTAGCCTGCGGTTATTAGTGCTGCGCACGCACGTCGGGACTCTTTCTGTTCCATGTGCTCACAACCGATTCAGGTTGTCGTAATTAAACCTTTGAGTTTACGCAGTGATTCCTTCTTTATTGGTGTAGAAAATGTTCAAGACATTCTTCCTATTTCTCCAGACTCCATAATGAATCTTGAATTTTCCTTTGGTATTTCTTCATGACAAAAGTTGAAGAATATAGTGCAGACCTTCAGGCTTAACATAAATTTCAGAACAACTTGTCTATGATGCTAGTTTATTACCCAACTGTAACAATACCTGTGTCATATTTCCACACTGCATTCTTCCTTCCATTCCCATTGTATCCAAGAACAGATTTTAGCTGGAGTCCTGCCTGATTTGGAGGAGCTGTGTATCTTCGGTCAGCTAGGGAGGAAGTCCTTGCACATCGCCTGTAGTGCCTCTTGACGTTTGGGACACGATGGGCATCAATGTTTACTACTGTTGATCCAACAGGTGGGGGAACATTGAAGTTCAATCTTCTGGCAGGAGATTTAGTCTTGACAGGGGAGCGCTGGGAAATGTAGTGATGCAGCACATGGGGTGAGAGACTCATTTCACCAATGATATACACAGTATAGAGAAAAAAACAACAAATCAAAAAGTAATTTTAAAATAGAAAAGTTTTAATGAAAACTTCATTCTTACATATTCACCAGTGTCAAGCAAAACTTGCTTCTGGGAGCTTTTGCTTTTTCCTGAGGAGTAACCATCATGAACCTCACTCTGCGGCACTCTATCAAGGGTACCACGATCATTTTCGACGTCATGCACATCAGCAGGAATTGGGCTGATATCAAACTGAGGAGGTTCATATTCAGTTGGTACTGGAACAGATTTTCTTGGGGTGACTGTGTTAGGATGAGCATTTGGTGGACTGTAAGGTCTTTCAGGAGTGATTTTCACACTTTTGTCTGCTTGTACAGGATAAATACAAAGACAGTTTAATATTATATTACTCTATTAGGTATCTCTCACTTTTTTTTAATTGCAAAATATAGAAGGATGTCAGTTCAACAATACCTGCCAGTTCAGGAATGTAACTCTTCTGGGGCGTGCGTCTTCTGGAAGGTAAACACCAAATCAATTAATCTAATTTGAATTAGTTTTTTAAATGTTATGAGCAAATCTACAGTAAATGAACATTAAAGGCTTACAATGTTTTGCATGACCCTATGCTGGTATCAACTGAGAAATTATAAATTATATGAATTATTCATTCAAGGCAATTCATGCTATAGTGTTCTCAGGAACACTGTTTTACATTCTGTTCAAATTCCAGGCCAGGAAGATTTAAAAACTGTACTAATTACAAAAGAAAAGTTCTCGAAATATGAAAATAATGATGCTGATTTTTGATGGTAAAAAAACTTACCCATTCTCTTGTCTCTGCCTCACTCTTCCATGAAAATCCCACAACAAAATGGCCTCCCCCACACTAACCAGCCCAAGATTATCTGGAGTGAAAGCAACTTGCTGAATGTGATCTGAGTGGCCAATAAAAACCTATTTAAAAAAATTGAAAAGAAAAAAAAAACTCTTTTGATTGTCATTTCATGTTTCAATTGGGTTAGGATACCACTGGGGTTCTGAAATAAGCACTCTTTCCCGCATCATACATTTACATTTCCCTGTCAAGCAAGAACCTTTTCTTTATCACTAAACATGCTTGATTTCAATCCCATCTCAACATGATAGCTGCATGTTGGTTTTTTTTTCCAACCTAGTTGAGCTACCTGAAAGTTAATGTCCAGTCGCATATGGTAGTCCCAAATCTTCACAACTCTGTCTCCAGCTGTGGCCAGGTATTTTCCATCACAGTTGACAGCTAAACTCGAACAGTTGCCTCGATGAATATTGGAAACCTGAAAGGTGAATTAGTGTGTCAAAGGATGTGGAACTTTTTATTTTTATAAGAGTGTCAAACCTGACCAGAAATACTTTTAATTTAGGGGCCTGCTACGTTTTGTCACTTCAAATCAGTATTCTACCTAACCAAAGAGGGACTGCATGACCAGTTATGCCTCTACAGTTACTGAAACCATTATTTTGGGGTTGACCTTTTAACTCCCATGAGTGACTAAGACAGAATTTCCCCTAACAATATCAATAGAATATCAAGCAGACACGTGATGAGAATAAAGAAAATTATTATCAAATTGTGCTTCGTAGAGTACAAAAAATAACACATGAGATGAGTACAAATATCATGTGATGTTTGTACTCCAGAAATACCCGCAAAATTTGCCCATACTGAAATAACAATTTGGCATGTTGGATAATAAATCACTTCTTAGACATTTTGTTGTGTAGTATCGCTGAGTATTTTTACTTTACTCTTTGTTTGTATTTTGACTCGCCCTATGGGCTTGTCAAAATATGGCACAACTTGTAAAAATACCCAGCGATACTTCTCAACAAAATGTCTACTAAGATATAAATATATATATATATATATATATATATATATATTAAATAGGGAATTGTTAATAGATCCTAGTCCAAATTCTCTAAAAAAGTAACATAAGAATTGTGAGGCAGACTGTAAGGAGAATGACTAATGAAATATTGGGAGTGAAGGGATTAAGAAAGTGTGATCTAGAGTTTGACAATAAGAAAAGTGCATTGCAAACTGCATGCATGTCGATTGAGTGTTGTAAAACAAAGCTTAAAGTCATCATGACCAACATCTGTATACAGTGGAACCCCACCTTTTGACCACTTTGTTAATAAGACCACTATGTTTTGGCCCAGCAAAATGTCCATACATTTTCTTATAAAAAAACCCCATTAATGCAACTACCCCATTAATGTGACCAACTACCCCTTTTTAAATTCCCAATACGTGCATATTTCTTTGCTTTTAACCTCGTTAATATGGCCACTAATACAGATAAGTAGCAATAGGAAATAAATCATGAGGAAGTGTCTGTTACATGTCATATTGTTACACAATAATTCAAATAAAGCAAATTGATTGGCTTGAGTGCAGGACAAGCCAGTCAAGAGTTACAGATTTTTTTCCAAAAATCATCTTCATAAACAAAACTGAAGCCCGCTCCATGCACGTTACCTTGGTTCGCAGTAAATACAGTACATGCAGCAGTTCGTTCCCGTTTGTTTGGTTTCAGGGATCAATTTTACTATAGGCAGTGTCGGCCAACATGTTGACCGACATATCGGTCCACAGGTTGGTCGATAGTCGGTTGACAGGTCGGTCGACATGTCAACCGACAGATGGAGTGTCACGTCTCGGTGGAATATCAGTCAAGTGTCGGTGGAGTATCGGTCAAGTGTCGGTGGTCTATCAGCCGAGTGTCGGTAGTCTATTAGTCAAGTGTCTGAACTTTATCAGTAAATATAGTTTGAACATCACTTGTGTGGTTGTGTATTGTTGCAGTGTCAGTATTGAAAAATTTGATTAGAAGAAAAATTTGATTTGAAGGCATAACTTTCAGGTATATGATTGAGTGTCAGTGAAGTATCGGTGAAGCATCGGCCAAGTGTCGACCGAGTGTTGGCCAAGTGTCGGTCAAATATCGACCGACCGTCTACCGATATGTCGGCCGATAGTCAGTCGACATATTGACCGACTATTTTACAACTATCAAACGACTATCGACCCACTATTGACTGACTGTCAACCGACTGTCGACCAACCATTGACCAACATGTCGGTTGACATGTCAGTCGACACTCCTTATAGTAACATTGATCCAGTTTCAGTAGCTCTTTTTAACATAGTTCTGTTTCAATTAAAAATATTTTATTATTTGAATGCAATTTAAATGCTTGAGAACAGTCGTTTGAAGGTGAAACTTTGATACTCTTGAAATACATGTCATCATCAACACACCAGCCATGAAATATGACCCTACCCTCCGCTGGTAATACGACCACCCCATCAATACGACCACTTTTTTTTTTGGCCCATTGGCGGGTGTATTAATGGGGTTCTACTGTAACTGATAAGTACTGTTATAGTATAGAGTCAGTCTGGACTTCAAGCATCTAATTCTCCTTACAATATCACCCTGGGACCACACATTATGGTCACAAGAATAAAGGAAATGATCCCCAACTAGAGAAGCTCTTGATTGTTAAACAAATTCTCCTTTTCGGCACCTTAGGAGAATTATAGAGAGCAGTATGGAGAATATGTAGACTGATGTTACGATGTAAAGGGTTAAAGAAGAAGAACAAACATCTAGAAGGCTGATAGGCTTAACTTTGTATCTGATTGGTTGAAACATGATGCAACTTTTCTGCATTACTCACAGTGTAAAGTAAAGTAGAGGCAATCCCATATTATTTTCAACATTTGAAACTTAAAACTATGGTAAGCACCTACCTCACTTAACAAGAGTCCACTATGAGAGTCAAGCTTCAGCAACCTTGATGTTGAAGTGATGACCAGTAACTGTTTCAGAGAATGGGGTGAAAAACAGACATGGCAAGCAGAATCCACAATTGATTGGTCTGCAGTGATAGTGCTGATGTCTACCCTTAAAACCTGTAAAAAATATCAGTGATTATATACACTCAAGTACAACTTATGAAGGTACAGAATGAAATTATGAGGAAAATGCTAGAAGCCTCACCTCATCCAAAGATCTGACATTAGCAACTGTCACTGTGTATTCTGTTGGTCCAATAAATGCCAACTTTAGGCTGTCTTCACTTACACTCAGTACATGGGGTCCAAACTTAGCACCCATTGCAACTGTGTTGGGTAACATGCGAATTAAATGGAATTCTTCATCACCAGCATCGTACAATGAAAGAGAACCTGAGGAATAAAAGAAATACTTGTTGTCAAGTACAACTGAGACAAATTTCATACAATGTTTTTTTTAGTGTATCGATCACCACCAACAACAAACGAAACCCAAAAGGCATCTGGAAGGATCTACAGGAATTAGGTGGGACACAAAAGTAAGCACTTAAAATAGCTATGCTGGAAACAGACAATGGTAAAGGTAGGAGATCATTATGTCAAAAATTAATTTTAAACTGATTCGATGCTGAGTATGGATGGTGGAATGTTCTTGCTATATTACCTAGTGCCCCTGCACTGTGCATGAACTCTCCATTAGGTGTAAACACCAAGCTTGTCACTTGGCCAGCATGCTGGTTATGTTCAGCTAGCAGATTTGTTGTCCCAACATGGAACACTCTTACACATCCAGACATAAACCCACAGGCAAAGCACTGCCGCTGAGGGTGATATGCAATGGCACAGGGGAGCTCACCAGGAGCTTGAAAGTCAAACAGCTGTGCAAGAGTGTCAAGATCCCAGATTCTTATTGATTCATCAAAGGACACTGTGGCCAAATAACGGTGAGTGGAATCAAACGACATGGCTGAGATCTTTTGTATGTGAGATCTCATCAGTGTAGAGTAGGTGCGAGCTGACGTATTCAACACACCAAGATTACCCTTAAAGGTGTAATGAAAAAAAGCAAATTAGTATTTACATGAGAAAAGGTCAGCACTTTCAACTTCACAATGAAAGTTACAGACAGTTCATCACAGAGAATTTTATTGAAAGTTTCTTGCCAATGGATAACTGTTTAGCAATGTTGAAAGACTGAGCTCGGCAAATGCTCAAAATAACCTGTTTTGAAATCATTTTCTACATTTAATCGAACACTCAGGGACCATTTGCATGAGATATCTTTCCTCTCCATGTTGGATACACTTCAAAATCTCTTGCCTAATACATGTAAAGCTACTTTTTTCAATAAAGCAAGTGCTTTAATTTACCGTATTTGTTCCTGCTAACACATTAAGTCCATCACTAGAAATGTTGACAGCAGTGATTGGGCCCTCATGTTCTTGAACAAAACAGCATGATTTATGTAATAAGCTCTTTCAGAAACTATTGTAAGTTAATTGTTATGCATGAAAAATTGCCCACACTGCTAGGGCCTATCCCAGCTACCACTGAGTTATGAACAAAAATAGCAATGTTAAGTAAAGCAATGATCCAAGCTGGTAGCTGCAATTTTAGTGATTGCAGATAAGAAGCCTCAAAAAATTAGGGCTCTTACGGAATTGGAACTCATGCTTTCCATTTACTGGTTGGGAAACTACTACTAACTGAGCTACAGTATGAAGCCACACTTTGGGAGCCAAGCTAATTTTAGAGGGTTCATCATTCCTGAGGAGGAAACATTATTCTATGTTTTATTTGAGTGATTCTGCCCTAAGTGACCATTCAATACAACCACTTCATAGAACTGATTGCTTAATAGAGGTCAAAATTACAGTGATTAAGGGTAAAAAAATTTGGGCTTTGACAACCATCCACTTCTGGTTAAGATTCTCTCCTGCACCTGCAAATCCAACCTTCCATAAAATAGCATGTTACTTGAATGTTTCCACACTTTGATCAGCTTTAACTGGTAGTTAGTAGTAATGTTATGCCAAACTGGATCTTACACAGCTAATTTTAATTTTCTAGTAGACATACCACTGTAAACAGGAAATATTAAGTAAAACAACATACTTACCAGCTTCAAGGAACACAGTGGAAAAATCCAAAGGCCACAATCTAAGAAAACCATCATCTGAGCCAGTGGCACAAAATGACTCATTTACACAGAGTGCATTGAGTCTGATTCCAAACTCAGTTGGAGTTGTACCACCATACTTGCCCAATTGGTTGTTACGAGTTCCAATAGGAAGAAGTCTGAAGACTTTGTCCAGCATGATCTTCTGATAGTCAATCTGATAAATTGTCCCTTGGTTTGTACAGGAATAACTATAACCAAAAACATTGTTAAATATCAATGATCATAGCACTTTTTTTGTGTCTTATAAAAATAAATTAGTTGCTTGGAAAGGCTTAGTTTTAATGTGAAATACTGGAATCTTCTCTTAATGAATGCCTTGGGAATCAAGTGACCACTTCCAAATCCCCTAATTGATATTCTTTTTTATTCTCATCACTTGTCTACTCGATATTGTATCGATATTATAAGGAGAAATTCTATCTTCGTCACTCCTGCAAGTGATGGATGGGAGAGTGAGGTTCATTGATCATTGATCAATGTTACATGTCCAATGTCATAGAAATGTTTAAAAATTTTGCATGAATTTGCATGATTTGAATCAAAATTCTTCCTTCCAACTGTCCTAGATTGGAGATTGGTTTGAGGTGTTTGGTGTTATATCACCCAATACTTTCCCTATTCTTGTTACCTTTTTCCTGAATGTGTTTGTATTGATGGAAGAAGTAACAAGTTAAACATTTCTTCCAATTTAATGTTGGGTTACACTTCTATGTGAACTTTTCTTCTTTGCCATAGTACTTTCAAGATGAGTTATCCAAAGTGCAAGACTTACACTGGCACAACAACTTTACATTTCAATTTAAGATACCAATTTTCCACAAAAATGTACATTTCTTACACTTTTCTAACTGCTGGATCTGTGCTTGTGGGATTTTTAGGTCCATAAGCTATATCAGTGAAATGGACAGAGGCTTGACGACCAAGATCTACTGGACAAGACCTCAAGGAGCCATGGCGAATTCGCCAGAAACGAACGTTGTCATTGCCACAGGAAATCAACCTTAACAAGAGAGATATTAGTTGAATACAAATGTTGCATGTCAATGAGAAATTCAAGCACTTGTAAAAACAATTTAAGTTATACAGCTCATCTTAGAGTATAGCATGATTGTATAACTACACCATATACAAGCAGAACATTTGTAAAAGATTCAAGGGGAGCCAAAGGGTAAAAATTAGAAGAGCATTATGGTAAATATAAAAATGATCTGATAATTTTCCCTTAAAATCCCAAGGTAAAGCAAATTTAGCACTGTGTTCCATGAATGGTTAAGGAGGCTGTTTCAGTTGCTTAACAACAAAATAAAGCTCAATTCAATCCACACAGAAAGTTTCCATGCAGACCAGAGTATATTGAAATAGTAAAATGAACCAATAATTTGACAGAAAGCCAGAATACTCAACAATCTTGAAAGTTATTTTGGATGCTAAAAAAATTAAAATGCAAACAATTAGAAATAAACCATCAATATACTGAGGCCATATTTCCATGGCAGATATGGTTTTATTCTGTAATCTTCTCACTTTGTCCATCTTAGGCAAGGTCTAATACCAGCCAAAATAAACACCCTAACAAATCAATGTCCTTATAAATAATACAAAAGGCTTAAACCAATTTATCTTGTAGTACCCCATCTTTGTGCATAAGATGGTAAAACATGACTTTTCTCAGTTCTTCCAACACCATTCATTACCTGCTATCATCAAAATCTGCAATTCTCATGCGCTGAATATCAATATCAGTGTGTGCTTTGGCAATAATGGAAACCTCTCCACCTCTCATGGCATGACTGACATCCCAAACCACAATCAGCTACACATGTGACAAAGATAATGAAAAGTATTTTCAACGGTGGTCTGGTTAGCTCATGTTGTAGAGTGCCAGAATGCTTGGGAGGTCAAGGGTTCAAGCCCCAGGCCAGGCCAGACCAATACTCAGGGTCTTAAAATAATGTGCTGTCTTTGCTACGACTTCTGCAAATGGTTGGACATTGTATTCTTCTCAAACGAGGACAAAAAACTGGAGGGCCTGTCTCCTGCATCTTCTCTGTACTGGTTAGCAAGGGGTCTTAAATAGCTCAAACACTTATCCCAAAAGGTAGGGAATGTAGTTCCCAGTGTTGTGGTCTGGCCTTGATTCTGATACTGGGGGCAACTGTAAAACTTCCTTCAAAAATTGTAAACTGCTCAAAGCAGTCTGGCCAAAGCCCCCCACAGGGGTTGTAAATTAAATTGGAAGAACCACATGGTGGAGAATTAATACAGATACTGTACTGTACTGCACTATACTGTACTACACTGCACTGTACTGCATTGTACTGTACGGCACTGCATTGTACTGTACTGCACTTCACTGTACTGCATTGTACTGTACTGTACTGTACTATACTATACT